AGACCTACTGCTCAGAAGATTCCTTTCAAAATACTACTGCTCATTGACAATGCACCTGGTTACCCAAGAGTTCTGATGGAGATGTATGAGATTGATGTTTTCATGCCTGCTAACATAATATCCACTCTGCAGCTCATGGACCAAGGAGTAATTTCAACTTTCAAATCTTATTATTTAAGAAATACCTATGTAAGGCTATAGATGCCATATACAGTGATTTTTCTGATGGATACGGGCAAAGTCAATTGAAAACCTTCTGAAGGATTCACCATTCCAGATGCCATTAAGAACATCAGTGATTCATAGTAAGAGGTCTATTTTGCAACATTAACAAGAGTTTGGAAGAAGCTGATTCTAATGATGACTCTGAGGAGTTCAAAACTTCAGTGGAGAAAGTAACTGCAGATGAGGTAGAAACAGCAAGAGAACCAGAATTAGAAGTGGAGCCTGCAGATGTGACTGAATTGCTGCAATCTCACGATAAAACTTTCACGGATAAGGAGATGCTTCTTACGGATAAGTAAAGAAAGTGGTTTCTCAAAAAGAAATCTACTCCTGGTGAAGATGCTGTGAAGACTGTTGAAGTGGCAGCAACGGATTTAGAATACTATCAATACATAAAGTTAGCTGATCAATCAGTGGCAGTGTTTGAGAGGATTGATTCCAATTTTGAAAGAAGTTCTAACTATAGGTAAAATACTATCCAAACAGCATCGCATGCTACAGAGAAATCATTTGTGAAAGAAAGTCAACTGATGCAGCAAACTTCAGTGTTGTCTTATTTTAAGAGATTGCCACAGTCACCCAGGCTTCAGCAACCACCACCTTGATCAGTCAGTAGCCATCAATATGGAGGCAAGACCCTCCACCCGCAAAGATTACTAGCTGAAGACTCACACGATGGTTAACAATTTTTAGCAGTAAAGTATTTTTAAATTAAGGTACGTACAATATCTATGAGATATGCATCCAGCAATAGGAGACCTGTTTCTAGAGCTAAAAGGATTAAATAAGATAACCTATATAAAGTAACAGCAGGGTTCCCAGTTCATACTAAAGCACTAAATAAATAATATTTCCTTTCATGGCTCTCTGTAAATCTGCTGAACTCCTACTCATACTTCAAACCCCATTTTAAATATCTGTTTCTACAAAACCTGCTTTATTATGTGTTCTATTTTCTTCCCCCAAAAAACTGCAATTGCCTATTATCCTGTGTTTCCCATGGCACTTAGAGAAACCTCTATTGTATTTTAACTGCTTTTTTTTTTTAATGTATTTATTTATTTATTTGGGCTGGGCTGGGTCTTCGTGCTACACACGGGCTTTCTCTAGTTGCGGCGAGCAGGGGGCTGCTCTTTGTTGCGGTGCACAGGCTTCTCACTGCGGTGGCTTCTCTTGCTGCAGACCACGGGCTCTAGGTGCGTGGGCTTCAGTAGTTGCAGCACACGGGCTCAGTAACTGTGGCTCGCAGGCTCTAGAGCGTAGGCTCAGTAGTTGTTGCACACGGGCTTAGTTGCTCTGCGGCATGTGGGATCTTCCGGGACCAGGGCTAGAACTCGTGCCCCCTGCATTGGCAGGCATTCTTAACCACTGTGCCACCAGGGAAGTCCCTAATTGCTTGTTGCTGGCCTTTCTGTTCCATTAGAGTACGAACACCTACAGGGTGGGATTTTTATCTAATTACTGCCTACTCCAAAACTGACAGAATCAATAATGGAAGCTTAATTTGCATTTGTTAAACAAATAAATGATTTAATTAAACTACTGCAAACTAAAACCCTTAGATGGCCTTTCAAATATTTCATAATACCCTTAAAAAAATAATAATCCTAACTTAGAGCGATACCCTATCAGCAATAGAATTTTTTAATATTTCTGCTTACTATTCACTCATTTATTCCACAAGTACAACCAGTGCCTCCTACAGGCTGGGAGTATTGTACATTAGTGAACAAAATGAATAAAAAACCCTGTCCTCCCGGGCCTTATATTTACCACAGGTAAATCTGTGGAAGTAAGAAATTACCATTGCAAACTTGTCTGAAAAATATACCAGGGGTTTCCCTGGTGGCGCAGCGGTTCA